AAACTGAATAAATCTAGTTATTATCGGCCCATATCTGGGATAAAATTAGCCGATACAAATAGTCACTGTATATGCTAATATCAGCCGATATTATTGGCTGGCAAATTTATCGGTCGGGCTCTAGTTCGTATGTGCTGATCTATATTAGATGTGTTTACATTGTGTGTCTGTTAAAGCCCCAGAGCAGAGTAGCTTACAGCAGGTTTGTGTTGTTTTGAGGCTATCGCAGCCTCATCTAATGCTAACCTGTCTGTCATTCATATAGTTTTCATAGCTATAATACTCTTATATTTTTTGCTTTCATAAGGTTATTTGTGTAAATCAGACAATTTTTTTAAAGAGATCGGACAAAGTCAGAGATTCTTAATGACATGACATAATGCATTACAGTGAGCATGTTTACATGCAGTTAAAGAAAGTCGATTTATCGTGTTAGGACTTTTGAAAACTGGACTTTTAAAATGCATGTTAACATGTTAGTCTGGCTGAAATGGTTCTGAATTTCTTTCTCAAAGTTGGACTAACACATAGATAATGCAGTTGATGATCTATTAAGTATTGCATGTATACACTTTAATTCGACCACTACACAATCCCTATGCCTTATTTTCTGTTGGAAGTCCAACAGCATTATAGACAGTATGTATTAAAACAGAAGTAGCATTTTTGCCTGTCTTTGGATATCACCAAAAGCGAGAGTAGCAGGGTTGGGTCTGTAGCAGCAGGCCGTCCAAACCAACGATCTTAGGAGCTCCCAGGAAAGTATGTGGTTTTTAACTTACATAGGACATGAAGGTTTATAGATAGTGACATGCAGTAATTTGATGAGTGCACAGAGAGAGAGCAAGAGATAGGAGCTCAAGGTGCTAGTTCCCCCAGTAGTCTAAGCCTATATTAGCATAACTAGGAGCTGGTCTATACCGGCACCAGCTTCAACTATAAGATTTATCAAAAAGGAAAGTTTTAAGTCCATTCTTAAAAGTACAGAGTGTGTCTGCCTCCCAGACTCTGACTGGTAGATGATTCTAAAGCAGAGGGGCCTGATAACCGAAGGCTCTACCTCCCATAGTACATTTAGAGACTGTAGGTACCACGAGCAGGCCTGCATTCTGGGAGCGTAATGTTCTCGAAGGGTAGTATGGCACCATTAGCTCTTCAAGATAAGATGGTGCCTGGTCATTAAGGGCTTTGAAAGTGAGAAGAAGGATTTGAGATTCTATTCCAGATTTTGTAGGGAACCAGTGCAGAGTTACAGCCCTTTAATCTGACTTTAAAGAGTTAAACACTGTACAGTCAGGCTTTCACTTATTTATTTATGTAGCCAGTCCAGGATTTAATCCACTGACCCTCCAGTCACGAAACCCTTTTCTTTGATTAGCAGACTACCATATGCTGTTAGCAATGTGCTGTACATGTGTGCAGGGCTTCAATCCAAAATGCAATGTGTCTTTCTGAGAAGGACTTTGTTTCTGAGTGTTTGAAAAATATTTGAATAACATCCAAAATACACTAAATCTCTTGAAGATCTCTTTCACAGAGTCACTTCTATCAAACAAAAAGCTGTAGCCATGCAGTAAATTAAAACATTCTGTTGAGGTTTTTTGTTTTTTTTGGAGTTGTTTTAATTGTCACTAATTTCTTCAGGCGTAGTTTTATTAGAATGAAACACTTTCATGTGATAAGTATCATTTTGGGTGAGAATCTCTTGCAAAAGAGGCAATGACACAGTAATGTGTTTTCTGTAATCTCAGGGGCAGCTTGCTTAAGTCGTGTGACACTAACAGCTGAGGTGGAAAAAACAAAGCTGAACTTTATTGTGCCTCAGTTTGGCACATCTATGGTCAGCTTTTCATTTGATTTGATAAACATTTCTTCATTGAAAACAACATTCCCTTTATACAGTGTTAAGAGGGAATAAATTAGTGAATTTGGTCCATTGCAGGCTCAGAGTACTGACGGACAATTGAAATGCAGCCATGTTGTTTTTGTTGTGTTGGGTTTGGTAGTCAAACACGTCAAGGCTAATTGAGTTTTTTTCTTTTTCCACACAGAGTCAGCAGGCTGCTTGTTCAGGGCCCATTACATCCTCTACATCAATGTCACTTCCCATAATCAAAAGTGATCTGAAGACTAACAAATGGCCGCCATTTTTATCGAGGTCAACTTGCTGTTGTTTAGCAACTCTCAAGGGGCTTTCTGTGTCTGGCATTTACAGCGATGAAGCCTTGAGGTTGGACTCTGCCAGGAAACATTAGAAATGTGATCCAACAGTGTTGACTGAAACCAGTTTTATGTACTCCACCTCCTCCTACCACCTCCCTCTGAGGAAACAGAGTGCATGTTCAAATGAAACGGGGTTTCTAGTAGAAGACCACATTTTGTTCTTTTGAGGTTTCCTTTGGGCCAAAACCACCAGTTGAGAACAGTTTCTCAAGCTTTCGGCCAACTACTGTAAAACTGAAATACCACTTTACCATGTTTCTCTAACACTATATGTGTCTCTGGCCTGTCGACAAGCCCCCCAATCATGAGAAAAGTCCATCCTCTCCGTCTTCTGCCTGCTCCACTTTTCAGAAAATGTGTGCTCAGAACAGGCTGTTTGGAGATTTTCCCATTGTGACATCACAAAGGGCAGTAACCCCTCCCCCAGGTGGGTGACACTCCCACAGCTAGGTGTTTGTTCTGCCCTCTGAGTCTGCCTTCTCACTGTAAACAATAGGACATGGTGTTAAAAAGCCCAAGCCACTCAAGTCCTTCAAGAGAGGGGCGTGGTCAAACACAGTTCATTTACATTTAAAGGTACAGACACAGAAACAGCCTGTTCTGAGCAGCGCTGAAATAGAGGGGTTTATAGACATGATCAAATACAGGATCAGAGTGGGTTTGGAGTAAGAACCTTCACAGACATGTTTTGGGGAGCTCTGAGACTTATTTAAACTGGTTGAAAAGGAGGATTATACGTGACCTTTAAATCTCATCTTATTAATGATCTAGGTTCAATGTAGTGGCAATTTATACTAGTTCAACATTTCCCTATACACGACACTTCTCTTTAAAGCATTGGATTTATGCAGGGGTAATGTGAAGCGCCCAAATAAAGCTTGTCTTGTGCCATAACTATGTCGAATATTTGTGTGTGCAAACTGGGAGTGTAAATATATAGGTTACCGTATGTAAGACGCAGTCAGATTTTTGGCGGTCTCAAAGAGGGGAAAATAGGTTTAAATTGTCTTTCTGCATTTTTTTTTTCAATTGCAAAGCAAACAAACGTTTCCACACCCACAACTTTTCTGTACAGCCTGGTCCACATCACTAATGTATACCAGCACGTGAAGCCATCGCCTGAAAAACACAATAAATGGAGGCCAATTTTCAATTGCATTGGGTTATGTGCAGTGGCTGCACTTGCAGTCATTGTAGTGCATGACTCTGAAATCTATGGTATAATGGTCCAGCAGGAATATAGGGACAACCCCGCTTTTTTAGAGAAAAAGGGAATTCAAATGGGTCTTATGCATCAAATTGTGTAGTATTATGTGAGTCATCCAAGTCGGCTTAAACACTTGCTTCAAGTTTTGCGACCAGTGCCTGAGAAGAATTGCCTTTGTCTGATAATACAGAGTACACGTTGTGATCATTGTTCACACCATTCCCTTTATCAATGTTAATTTGGTAAAAAAGACATTCACATCCGTATAATTTACAACTGCAGTGACTATAACAAGTAGGCAAATCAAATTATAACTCCCTTGCCCATTTAGGAAGTCCATTCCCAGAAGTCATCTGTCCCCCCTCCTCTCTTGTATCTCTGGGAGTTTGTTTGAGTCACTCGGCCGGGCTACAGCCTTTCACAAGGCTCTCACTGTCCTGGGGGCCAAAGACTGCGGATAACTCAATTTGCCTCCTCTCACCAACTCTGCCTGTCTCTCTGACTCTTGTCTTTTTCTCTCTGCTGTGCTAATTCAGAAAGTGAATTGAAGTCACTTGTGAAAATGAAGTCAACCTGATAGAGTCTATTGTCTGTTTTGTTGGTCAGGTATACTTTGTCAGTCCGCCTGTTAGTATCGTCATCTGATGACTTGTCAAATGAATGCTTTTACTTTCACTTCTGAAAATGAATGTAAAGTTTTTATACATTTGAAAGACCTTTCATTTAATAACTATTAACAAACCTGACCTTTTATGGAGTGCTGTGAAACAATCTCGGAAGCCATCTGCAATCACCTGACAACAACACATTTTTTCTGGGTCTTCCTGGTGTAGCCAGCGCTTAGCAATGGGGCATCTGTGGCTCAGTGGTGGAGTCGGTCGACTCTCAACCAGAAGCTCGGGGGTCCAATCTCCAGCTCCTGCAGCCATGTCTTGATGAAACCTTAAGCAAGATGCTACCCCAAGTTGCTCCTGCTGCTTCAGCGGCAGTGTATGAATGGGATTAGTTAATACTGATGGTCACTTTACAGAGCAGCCTCTATCAGTGTGTGAATGGGTAGGTGTGACCTGCAGTGTAAAAGCACATTAAGTGGTCAGGAGACTAGAAAAGTGCTATCCAAGCTCAAGTCCATTTACCATTAACTTCCAGTCATGACATCCTTTTCTGTGTATTGCCATTGTTTACAGGCTTACTAGCAACTTGAGAAGTGAGAATGGAGTTGGTTTTGAGAAGCAACATTTTCCTGTAAGAGCACCATCATCGTGGTGTCGTTTCTTCCCATCGCTGCAAGATCCAATGACACTGTCAGCACTAATTCATACTAAACATTTGATGCGGAAAACAACGTTTTTGGAATTTAGGAATAATGCTTGCTCCAACTTTATAAAATAGATTCACAATCCATGTACAATAAATGTCTAACACAACAATTAGCTTTGTTGGCCACCATATTGGTGCTGAATATCAGGGAATGTTTGCCTTAAGAATGATTATTGTTATTGGCCTCACCACTACCATATCAGTGGGGATACACTCTTAAACCTGTCTTTTTTTCCTTTGTGCTCCCCAGGCCGAGTTCTCAGAGATCAACCTGGCCTCCTACGTAACCTCGGGATGTATGGTGGACATGCAGGTCAACAAAGGGGGCTCCAAAGTGGTCAGGTAAGATGCTTGAGGAGCCAGAAGGAGAGCGAGTCCACTGACGCATTTTGCCTACGTTGTCAGTTATCTGCCTCATTGAGCCTGCATAAAGACTCCAGTTCATTTCTCTCTGTAGCATTGAGCATGGATGTGTGTGTGTATATAACACGCTTTGTACTCAGGGCTGTAATGTGATTATGCCATGGGGGAGCTAAAAAAAGACATTACCCTTTTTTAACCTTGTTGTGATGGTAAAATAAGAAGGATTCAAAGTATTAAATCTTGTATGCTATTCCTGTGTGTGTGCTTTTAGCTCTCATTATGTCACCTTATGTTGTTCCATATAGCAAAACAAATGTTACACAACCAAGTGTATTAGCCAGACAGCATGAGCAGAGCTCCTACAATACTGATAACTCCCTCCAGGGCAATAGCTGCAAAGCCAACTCTTATGGTAACCAGGGAGGCGGATGGTAAGACATTAGTCAAGGTATTCTTTGTGCTAAATCACTCACTGTGTAAAAATCTGTTTTCTACAGTCTATATCAGCTATTCTGGGCTGACAACGCTGACAATGTGAACCTGGAATAAGAAACTAAAAGATTTGGGTGCCGGTAGACTAATTGTTAGTGTGCACGCTCCATGTGCGGAGGCTGTACTCCGTCAAGCAGGCGGCCTGGGTTCAAATCTGATCTGTGGCTCCATTCCCTCATGTCATTCCCCACTCTCTCGCTTACTGATTTCTGATATTCATCCACTGTCCTGTCTCTAAATAGAGGCATAAAAATCCCCAATAAAAATTGGGGATTTTTATTGGGGATTATTATTATTGGGGATTTATTTATAATAAAAAGAAAAAATCTTGCAGAGGTAGCCTCTGGTCAGCAACCCTCTCCTGCAGAAGCAGCAGGTCGACACGGGAAGTTGGGTATTAAAATAGACAAGGAGAGCACTGACGATCAGCTGATCAGAGTGGAAAAGATGACTTCATGCTCCTGCCACAAACAACACTTTGAATGCCGGAAGTGCTTTATTGAAACAGACAACAAAACAAATATTTAACATGCAAAGATCACAGCTGTAGAGCAGCCATGAACATTTTATTCTATTTTGACAAAGTCACCTAACTATGTGAAATGTATCGTGACAAACTTGCATTTCATCTAGTCATTTTTGTCATGTGTCCTTGGGCAAGACACTTATGAATGGGATTAGTTACTTCTGATGGTCAAGAAAAGCGCTATACAAGCTCAAGTCCATTTACCATTTATCTGGGGGAGGGGTTATCAATCAATCAATCAATCAATCCATTTTGTAGACAGACTAGGGACACATGTTAGAGTAAGAATACATGGTAGTGTATTTTGTGACTTAATACACCACATGCTGTACCAACTATCATAGGCAGTTTTAAATAACACAAGGTGTCAGTTCAGAAACTTAGAAATATGCATCCATTGTTGTACCTGACTGTCTCAGTACACTCATGATAGTCTTCTGCTTTGTAATCTGGAGTCTCCTGAACTCCTGCAACCCCATTGGTCTGTTCGATCAGCTGGCTGAGTGCTCAGCATCCAGTCAGTGTCAGCCAAGTTCCAGCCTTCTTGTGGAATTATCAAACCAATCTGTGCTTTTGGCCTCGACTCCACACAGTTTAGATTTTTTTTTTAAAACACAACAACTTTCTTATCTGTGAAGCATTAATAGCCTGTAAGTGCAGTGCAGTTGAAACCAGGCGGGAATAAGAACAGAGTGGGAGCAGTAATGCAGCTTCTGTGACAATGCAACACTTGGTCAGACACAGAGGTCATTGTGTGGTTGGAATTTTCTTTTTTTTTTGGGAGGCGTGAGGGGGTTGATATTACTGTAATGACGTTGAGTGCAAATTGGCTACAGATGGTCTGACATTCATTTGCCAAATAATCATAGTTTAGCTTGTTGTTTATGACCCTGAAGTTGACTGCAGATCATTTAACGGTTGTTCATAGCTGACAGACACAAATTCAAAGCTGCTATGTTGGAGTCAAACACTGGAAGTTTCTTCAGATAAAAGATCAACAAGTGTGAACTGATTGACATCGACCTTGCTGCAGACTGAAGCCAATGTTAGTGTATTATTTATTTAAAGCAGTTGTGTGTGTGTGTGTGTGTGTGTGTGTGTGTGTGTGTGTGTGTGTGTGTGTGTGTGTGTGTGTGTGTGTGTGTGTGTGTGTGTGTGTGTGTGTGCGCGCGCGCGCGTGTGTTTGGGGTCATCCAAGGTCACATGCATATGGCTGCATTTACACGCTACTGTATATTTAAAGCAGGGTCCTGCATATCCACGTGTCCTCAGTCTGTTGTGTTCTCAGCGCCGACCTCTGACCTCTGTCCACAGGCATGCTCTCTGAACATTTCTCCTCTGCTGGCTCGAGGCAGCGGCACACTTTCTCACACTTCTGAGGTTTCACTGCGGTTTATTCAGAAAGGTTTCTCTCACTTGTGTATTGTTTGCTATGCATTACAAAAATGTGAATCTACAGTACTGTACTGTATAGTTAAAGGTAAATGGTAAATGGACTTGTGATTGTATAGCACTTTTCTATTCTTTTGACTACTCGACACTTAAAACCACTGAGCCCACAGTAGCCTCTGTGGAAAAAACGCTCATGCATAGTGCAAGTTGACAAAATCGATTGGAAACGACATGCAGAATATCACCATGTTGACATCACAGCAGCTGTTTGATGGATCCAAGTTTTAGGACTACTCCGTTTTACACAGGCCCTCAATTTGTATATCTTCACTGAAAATAACCAGATCAAGCTTCTCCACCAATTTCTCCAATTTGGAACAATCTTTAAGGAATCCCTGGAAGAAAATAGAGACATGCTTGGGTGATAGGCCAAGAACAATTATAATACAAACAACGCAACCAGTTAGACAACACAAAAAAAACCAAAAAACATTCAAATACTATTATCACAACAAAATTCTTACCATGCAAGATAATACAGACAATTCTGCCAAATATTTACAGTACAATTTTAATACAGACTACACAGCAGGATAGACAAACCAGATAATACGACAACTCAAACAAAAGAACACCAAACAACCGAGTACCACACACACCATACAACAGAACAAACAGACAATATAACCAAATATAGACAACACAAAATACAAAATACAGACGAAACAACTTATACAGACAACACAGCCAAATATAGACAATAATACCAATTATACACAATACAACCAAATACAGACACAACACAAACAAATGCAAAAAAAATAGCTACAGTAAAAGAACAACTCAACCAAATAGAAAACACAAACAAATAGAAAACACACACAGCCTAACACGACCATATAGCTTGACATGATGCAAGGGGCCCAGCCTTCAACATAGAACTCTACAGGACTATACACAGCTGGGAACATAGCAGGGACACATATGGAGGTTTGTTGCCATGACTGTGGCAGGCTTGTTGCTGCTCATGTGTTGTCAAATAGATTTATAATGTTTTCTTAATTTCTCTGTTTTTTTAAATGGAGGCAATCAGAATGTTTACCTGCAACCTTTTTGGCTGATGTATACTAAAACTTCTTGCTGTTATTCCTTGTTACTAGATAAGAGATGGAATAGAGCGTGAATGCCAGTTTCGTGGTTCCATGAAAAACTGGACCTTACATGCAATTTCCTTTCACTATGTGCAACGTGGCACGCACTGCACTGCCTCCAGCACAGCAGAATGACACACCACAAGATACAGTAGTTATGGCGTGTTGTGTTCTGCTGCACTGCTGTAGTCAGCCCTTTGGCTTCTTTCTTCTCGGTTGCCAAAACCTCCAGCGAGCTGCTCGGCTCCAAGTAGGAACACTGGTCTGGTTGAGAGTGGTTTTCACAGAAGCCAAAGTATGATAAGCGTCAGAGCAACATTTCTCTCCTCCAGCATCCCCACAGAGCTGCTGGTGTGGCAATGGAACCCGTTCATTAATTAGAAGTGATTCAAGTTGAGTTTTAACGGAGATTGATTGAGGAGTTTGTTGAGTATTTGTGGAAGTAGTTCTGGGCTGCAGCGTCAGATTCATGGCTAAAATGTGGATGTATAAGAAAACTTGAGGGTGTTTGGAGGTCAGTGCAACCTATTTTAAGATTCAGTTAAAAACGTTTATTGCTGGTAGTGGGTCTGATTATCACTAGCTGCTCACATAATTGCCCCTTTTGGAACACTTCAAGAATAGAAAGTACGCGACAGGAAATGTTGGGAAGAGAGAATGTGGGTATGACATGCAGCAAAGGGCAGAGGTCGGATCCGAACCTACAGCTGCTGCGACAAGGACCATAGCTGCTGTACATGGGGTGCGACATAACCACTAGGCTATCGGCGTTCCCCTGAATAGTGACTTTTAATGGAACAAGCTGACATAAAGCCAAGCAGACATGTGCTTCCTAAATTCTGAGCGTTCTTCGCTATATACATTACCCTCACACATTCTACCATCTTTTGATTTTTCTTTTGTCATTTTGTCATAGACCTTTTTTAGCATAAAATATGGGTTGTTAATTCATTTTTCTGATGAATGAATTTCAGTAAAACCTGAAAAAAGTCAATTAAAAATTGCAATCTCGTATTCAATGTTTCACAGTATTGAAAAGTACCCAAGCTTTAAAAAAAACAACTGCAGATCTGTAGTCGCATTTTTTATCCAAAAAATGTCAGGGGTTGGCAAATACTCAAATACTGACATTTCTCCATGTCCAAATGCAGCTTTGACACTCAATGTCTGAAAATACTTTAGCTGAACTGACTTGGTTAGTATGTATTGTATTGTATTGTATTTTAGCAGATTATTTCTCAGATTTACTGAAGAAGTGTTGCATGTTATTTCTGTGGGTGTGGTTTCCAATGTTCCTTGACATATGGGATTCTTGGCTCTATAGATGGAAGGAGGGAGACTTCCTAATTACATGAACAGATCCTTGTCTGAATTTCTCTGCTTGCCTCTTACTTAATTCTCTTTCCTGAAAGCTGCCG